CCAGCCGAACGCGAACCCAGGTCAATCGGGCTCTGCAGGCTCCTGCACGCTGGCCCGGGTCAATGGACTCCCCTGGCTGCGCAGGATCCTGCAAGAGCCAGCACTCCGGCCGACACCCGTATGCTTGGATGGACCCCCCGTTGCGGGCAATACTTCTGTCCATGTCCACTGCGATATGGAGCTTCGGGTTCCCTTCCCCAGAAACCAGAGGCGTGCTGGATATGGATGAGCTTGCCCCCTAGAGGCTCGATGTCTATCCACATCCAGTGCGCCTCGGCCTTGTGACGCTCCTTCCCAGAAAATCCAAGACGCACTGGATATGGATACGGACCTTGCCCGCACCCGTTCCCCAGGACCCCGAAGAACACGGGCCGCGCACTGGCCGGGGCGGAAGCTTCAGGATGCGTGCGCGGCGCTCCGTCGGGTGCACCACCGGCCCGCCCTCCTCCCGCGCGCCCTCGCGGCGCCGGGGGGCAGCGGCGCGCCACGCTCTGGCGTGAAGTCTGCACGGCACATGGGCGAGAGCCATCTGTCGACTACCTACAATGAAGGGGCCCGGCGCCCTGGGACACACACACACACACACAGATATATACACACATAAATAAGGGGATTCCAAGTATTGTCCTATATTTTCTGGGTTTTTGTCTTCTCCCCCACTTCCCATAGTTTCCTATATTTTCTGGTGAATCGCCGATTAATTGTGTCTGTGTGCTTCTTTCCCTCCTGATACAAGACCACCCCAGCCCCACCCGATGAAGCCGAGTCTCGGGTTTGGGGGGTGGTGGGGCGGGCGTCTCATGCACGTCTTTGTCGACGTTCCCCGACCCCCCCCCCCACTGGAAACGGAGGGCAACTGTGGGCTTTCGGGTGGGCGTCGGGGTGGTTTGGTGGGTCGTGATCTGTGGGGCCCAGACCCCCTCGAGGCCTGGAGGGTCGTGGGTGGATGACGGGAAGCGCCTTCTCGGAACGAGAAGGTGATGGGAGTTTTCTAGCTTTTCTAAATGAAGTATGAATAAAGAACAAACTCGCGAGGGACAACTGACTCCCGATTGTAAATGTTGATACGTTGGCGGAGTCCGCTCAAAATGGCCGTTTCGCCTGAGACATCCTCGAAAGAGCTAGATGTTGAAGCCGTGTAGTTGAGACGTCGTTTGTTAAACATGAGGCTCTCTCTCTCGCTCGACACATCCTCGGAAAACTAGCTACTGAGCTCGCTCGCGAAATTGAGCGAATCGCTGAAATTCCCAACCATCCTGTGGTGTTGGGTCCTCGTTTTGAAGAGACGGTGCCCCGCCTTCCTCCTTCCTTCCTTCCTTCCCGCCCTCCTCCCCCTCCTCCCTCCTCCCCCTCCTTGCCTCTGCTCTCGGCACACCTCTCACACGCTTCGTAGCCCCATAGGGAGCTCCACCGAAGGACCCAGCGGGGGGGGGCGCATGCGGTTCCCCCACCCAGGGCAGCGTTTCGTGGCCCCATATGGAGCTCCACCGAAGGCCCAAGTGGGGGTGGGCGCATGCGGTTCCCCCACCCAGGGCAGCACTTCGTGGCCCCATAGGGAGCTCCACCGAAGGACCCAGTGTGGGGGGGGGGCGCATGCGGTTCCCCCACCGAGGGCAGCGTTTCGTGGCCCCATAGGGAGCTCCTCCGAAGGCCCAAGTGGGGGATGGGCGCATGCGGTTCCCCCACCCAGGGCAGCACTTCGTGGCCCCATAGGGAGCTCCACCGAAGGCCCCAGTGGGGGTGGGCGCATGCGGTTCCCCCACCCAGGGCAGCGTTTCTTGGCCCCACAGGGAGCTCCACCGAAGGCCCCAGTGGGGGTGGGCGCATGCGGTTCCCCCACCCAGGGCAGCGTTTCGTGGCCCCATAGGGAGCTCCACCGAAGGCCCCAATGGGGACCCCCACCCAGGGCAGCGTTTCGTGGCCCCATAGGGAGCTCCACCGAAGGCCCCAGTGGGGGTGGGCGCATGCGGTTCCCTCACCCAGGGCAGCGTTTCGTGGCCCCATAGGGAGCTCCACCGAAGGCCCCAGTGGGGGTGGGCGCATGTGGTGGCAGCGCTTCGAGGCCCCATAGGGAGCTCCACCGAAGGCCCCAGTGGGGGTGGGCGCATGCGGTTCCCCCACCCAGGGCAGCGTTTCGTGGCCCAATAGGGAGCTCCACCGAAGGCCCCAGTGGGGGTGTTCGCATGCGTCTCCCCTGCCCAGGGCAGCGCTTCGTGGCCCCATAGAGAGCTCCACCGAAGGCCTCAATCGGGGCCCCACCCATTACAGCGCTTCGTGGCCCCATAAGGAGCTCCAGCGAGCTACACCGAAGGCCCCAGTGGCGGTGTCCACATGCGTCCGCGCAACCAATTTCGGCGCACCCCTCACAAGTTTCGTGGCCCCATAGGAGCTCCACCGAAACCGGTACCCACAATGCGGTACTCGCAACTGCACATGGTTGGGTCCTTCGTCAGGCTAATTGTTTTTCGCCTGAGACATCCTCAAACAGGTTAGATGTGGAAGCTGTTTGATTAAGACGTGTTTCGTTAAAAATGGGGCTCTCGCTAGAGACATCCTCGGAAAAAAAATCCTGTCTCGTTTCGCCTAAGACATCCTCGAAAAAGTGAGATGGTGAAGCCGTGTAGTTGAGGCGTATTTTGTTTAAAATGGGGCTCCCGCTCGGGACATGTTGTCTCCTCCGTCTCTGAGGTCTCATCCGTCTCTGAGGTCTCCGTCCTTGAGGTCTCCTCCGTCTCTCCTCCGTCTACTCCGCCATCCGCCGCCTTCTCCTCGTCCCCCCTTTGACTCCTCCTCCTCCTCCTCTTCATTATCTTCGTCCTTCGTCACGCACGCACGCCACACAATGACATCGCCCTCGCTGTGACCATCTTCGAGATACCCCACCTGTCACCTTCTCACCCCGCACCCTCCGAACATGTCCCGCTCGCACGCAATCCCCGCAGCCTCACCGCACCTATTATCTGACGCGTACCCTTGTTTGCAACACACGTCGACACACACACACACACACAAGCAGGCGGTTGAGGGAATCCCAGCGAGTGCACTACATGTGCGCGCAGTGATGCTAAGTGAAAGTCTGTGCGCGCATGCGCACGCAGGCTTAGACAACCACTTAGCTCTGAGAAGCTCGGAGGAATAATCACAGCAACCACAGGCAACCAGTAAGCTCGGAGAAGCTCGGATAAGTAAACAGAACACCGCAAGAAACCAGTAAGCTCGGATCAGCTCGGACAAGTAACTAGAAAAACCACAAGCAACCACTAAGATGGGTGAAGCAACCACTAAGTTCGGAGAAGCAACCACAGACAACCACTTAGTTTGGAGAAGCTCGCATAAGTAACCAAACCAATTGCAAGCAACCACTTAGTTCTGAGAAGCTCGGAGAAGTAACCATAACAAACACAGACAATAACTCAGCTCGGAGAAGCAACCGCTAAGCTTGGACAAGCAACCGCAGGCAACCACCAAAATCTGAGAAACTCGGAGAAGTAACCAGAACAAACACAGACAATAACTCAGCGCGGAGAGGCAACCGCTAAGCTTGGACAAGCAACCACAGGCAACCACTGAGCTCGGAGAGGCTCCGAGAAATAACGAGTAACCAGAGCAACCGCTGGCAACCACTAAGCTCGGAGGATGAGGATGGGGAGGAGGCAGGGCCAGCGCGGCAGACCAGCACGGCAGACGAGCGCGGCAAGCCAGCGCGGAGACATTTGGTGTGCTCAATCAGACGTTATCTGACAAGCCCTGTGGACAAAGCGGCGCTTCCCGTTCTGGTCCGGATAGGTTCCTGCCTCCGAGAGGGCCCCCGCGGGGCCCCGCGGGACCGCCCAGGAAACTGTTCGGGGCGAAAGGCCAGTCCCCGGGAAGGGGTCGAGACTTCTGGGGTTAGATCGGGCGTATCCCCCGACAGGCGCATCTTGGACGAAAAATACTGAATAGTCGAAGAATACGAAAAAAGGTCAACAAGAGTCGAAAAATCGTCCACTGACGACTTTCCTGCGTAGAGGGACGTGCCCGACCTGATTCTGGGGGTCGGCGTTGCGAAAAAATCAGGGCGCCGCCCGAGGGGAAACCGCTGCTCCCCGGACCTCCCCCGCGGCGCGCTCTGACCAGGAATTCGAGGCGAGCCCAGCGGTGGTCACGAGGGCCGCCCAGCACGCCCAGGCAAGGAAGCGAGGGAAGTGCCGCGGCATCGGTGCTCCTTCCCCGAGCCCGCCCGCGAGCGGCCCACGCTTCCGCTTTTTCCGACGACTGGGCGACTCGAGCAGGGGATCGACGACAGAATTCATTTTTGCCCCAGAGCTGACTCACACGCCGAATCCGTGACAAACGCGCAGAACTAAAGGGAAATTAGGACACACAAATAAATACACACAAATAAAAATAGTACCCATATTTTCCCATATTTTCTGGGTTTTTGTCTTCCCCCCCAATTCCCATATTTTCCCATATTTTCCTGGGAATCGAGGATTAATTGTGTCTGTGTGTTTTTCTCCCTCCTGAAGAACGCGCGCAGATCTACGAACACTCGACGTGCGACTCGACGAGAGAAGCAGCACCAACGTCTGTGGCCGACGCCGCACCCGAGCGACGGAGGCACTCCGCGGCGCGCGCGGGCGGCATCGCCGCGTCGGGGCGAGGAAAATGGCCCGCGCGGCGCGGCGGCCAGGGCGGCACGTCGCCCGCCCGCGCGCGGCCCTGCTCCCAGGTTGGGAGGCCCGGGAAGGGGCACCGACACCGACACACAAGTGGGGGGGGGGGCCTCCACAGGGGGGAAAGAGGATCCTAGAGGGGGAAGAGGATCCTAGAGGGGGAAGAGGATCCCTAGAGGGGGAAGATGATCCTAGGGGGGGGGCTCCACAGGGGGAGGATGATCCTAGATTTCGGTGCCGGCGGCAATCTTTCGGCCCCCTTTGGAAGCCAGAGCAGCACCACCATCACCGAGATCGGGATCTTCTTCCCTCGGTGGAGGCACACCGCCCAAATTGGTGTTGGTGTCAACCTCTAGGCCTGCGCGAGTGGGAGAAGGGGATAGCGCCGCGCCCGAGCAGGAGCGAAACCTGCAAGCGGAATCTGCGCGGGCGGCGCCGGGGCAGGAGCTGTGCGTCGCCCGCTCGCACGCGACCGGCTGCCGACGGGCTGGCGACCGACATCCGCGCGCTGATCCCCGGCGAACCCCAATCACAGGATGGTGTGGACCCAAAACCTAGCTCGTGGTGGGATCGATCATGATATCGAACGTGAGCTCGATCGTGGGATTCCGAAATCGGCTCCGAACCAGCAGCCAAGAACCCGGGAACTCAGAACCGGGAGCCCGGGAACCCAACCCTACCGAAATCGGCCCGGGACTTTCGCCGAATCTGTCAATGTCCGCTAGGACCCCTTCAGTGCAAGCACTGATGGGAGAAAACTGGAATGCCAAGAACAATCGCAAAAAAATGGGGTCGCACTCCGGATGATCTAATGAAATGAGGGGGGGGGAGCGATTTCGGGGAAACTTGACTTTAGCTATCTTGGACTTCCGGGGAAGTTTGATTTGAGCTGTCTTGGATGGCTGGGTGGGGACTGGCGAAGAGGTCCGGGGGGGTCTCCCGACTGGTGGGGAACTGGAGTTGCCAGGGCGGGGTTGCGGACCGAGAGAGGACAGAACGGGAATTGGAATGAGAGGAAAACAGGAAGAAGAGGGCAGAGGCGACGAAGTGATGGGAAAAGAAGGTGATAGGCGGAGGAGGGAAGAGGGCCACCTGAAGAAGAAGAGAGGGCTTAGGAGGCAGAACGAAGGAAAGGGGAGGAGGGGAAGAGAGAAGAGGCGGAGGAAGGGGAGAGGAGGGAGTTACGAGCGCAACAGCTTCGTCGCTGATCTTTGCCCAACCCTGAAGAGCGGAGGGGAGGTGAAGATAAGGGGAGAAAGCGGGGAGGAGGAAAGAGGAGGAGGAGAAGGGGAGAAAGGGATGAGGGAGCGGAGCGGAGCGGAGCGGCGCCGATGTCGCCCGGGGGCGTCCCATGTACGGATCGGCGGGTGCGCTGGGGCGCGCCTCAGCACGTAGATTCTATGCCTCATCCAGTGATCGCGATTCTGGGCAAGCAACTCCCAATTCCCATATGCATGGCATTGCCGCGCTGTCGCACACATGTCGTCGAATCATCGCAGGCGTGGTCGCTGTGGCACACTCCTGGCCCGCACATCGTAATAGGGTGGATCCCACATGACAGCCCTCCAGCTCCATGTGTGTTTCTCGTAGACAAGTTTTGACACCCACAGCCGCTTCCGTCGTCTATGCATTGTGACCCAATCCTCGTAGCCAACTTGGGCAAATGTATGATCTGCCGCGCGCGTTGCTCTCTTCATCCATTAGTGCCACGGCTCTGTGCGAGCATATGAACCAAAGGACGAATATGTAGAACTGTCATGGTGTTTTCTGCTGGTCCCGTGTCAACAATGTTGGTGTCATCGATCGATACCGCGTGCCTCCCAGCTGTCCGGCGCGTCGGCGACCGGCGAAGCCCGGACCATCACGAAATCACGCGTAGCATTCGGCGCTGCGTAGTCCGGACTCTGCGCGCCAAATCGGCCGCGAGTGTCCGCGACGCGCATCCATGCAACCCACCTGCACCAACAACATTAATAAGATTAATATAACCCACCTGCAACCAACCCACCTGCATCAACACACCAGGCGGCCGCAACACTAATAAGATTAGCTAGTGGGTTTTCCCTGAAAAAAAAAACGAATGTTATCCAAGCGGCTTTGATACGTGACTCGATATCAGTCTCCGCTCGGTCACAACAAATGAACGGCCGGCCCAAATATTTCTGCGCCCCCGAGAAAAGGCAATACTTTGATCTGCATGCCATCAGCGACTGCGAACCATTTTGTGCGTTTTGGTTTCCAGTGGCATCGTTTTTTTTTTTTTTTTTTTTTTTTTTTTTTTTTTTTTTTTTTTTTTTTTTTTTTTTTTTTTTTTTTTTTTTTTTTTTTTTTTTTTTTTTTTCCGAAGTTGCACGTCTGATATCATTCGCTTGCTCAGGGTCATCGACCCACCAATGCGCAACATACAAATTTTAGATTGGTGAGCAACGCGCCTTCAACACATGATAGACGAATGCCGTACTTGAGCTTAAACCGTTTCGGGCAGCCTTGCTGACATATGCGCTGCGACAGAATGTTGAACAACAACGACCTCAATGGATCCCCCCGCTTCGTCCCTCGCGCAACGCGGAATCATCGGCTCAACGCGTCCGCCCTCGCGACAGCTGTCTGGCCATGGGACAACTCGGCAATCATGTCGCTGCGCGGCGCTGGCGCAGATTGCGCTTCCAAAGCCGCCCAAATAGCAACGTGGGAGACTGCGTCGAAAGCTTTCTTGAGATCCGGCGTTGCCGCCCAAATCGAAAGTTGTCATTCCCCCCCTTTTTTTCCGATAGGGGCTGCGAGCGCAAACAGATGGCCACCCGTGCAATAGTTCTTCCAGAACCTAACCTGCTCTGGAGGTTGGGATCTGTCCAGAACTTGCCCCGGACGGTTGAGCAGCAAACGAGAAGACAATGTGCACATCAATGGAATCGTACATGTCGGTCTGTAGTTCTGCAGTAAAGACGCAGCACCCCCAGATATGAACAAAATTCCGATCTCGGCGCGACGCCAAATCTCTGGAATGGGTGAACCTGGGACTTGAGCATCTCTGCTGCAATACCAAATGTGTCTGCAGACTTACCGTTCTTCAACTGCCTGGGACCCGCGGACGTCTCCGTGTCGCTGAAAGGAGGAATGCGCGGCTTGGCGATGAGTCGTTGGTCGCCGGTGACTGCGTGGGTCGCTGCGTGCAACGTCTCCTAGAAATCTGCAGATTAGAATGCGGTCGCGCATGGGTCAAACGCTCAGTCCCCACTAGATGACTGCATAGGTGTAATGTGCACGTTTCGCTTCGCACTCTTGATGCCGCGGACATGTCGCAACCCCCTGAGCTCATCCAGAATGCGACCAACGCGAGCCTTGCGGTTATTGCGTCGCTGTGCTCAGATATTTTTTGGATAGTTGCGCTCGCCACTCGTCGTTCCAATGGGTTGCTTGCTGGTAGCGCCTTCCGCTGCTCCATCAGACCGCGTGGAATATTATTGCCCCGGCCATGGCAATTGTTGCAACCGTTTGTTGACGGCCCCTCCATCGCATCCCGCATCGCGTTCTCGATTCCCACGCACAGCCCCTCAACTGTGCCATCGCGTCGTGCCCCTTGAAAATTCCTGCCCACGTCGGTCGCGCACTGCTGCGAATCGCGAAATGGTCACCTTGTCCAAATTTTCCACGAGCGTCTGGATGTGATTATGCCCGTGCTCATGTTGGGCGTCAGCTTGCGAAGGACGTTGCTCTGCAGATTCAGCGCTCGATGATCAGACCCCAGATCGACGGCATCGTTCGCAGCCACTTCGCCACTGTATTTTTCAAGATATATATATATATATACATACATATATATATATATATATATCGGAGGTGAAAGGGTGAGATCGAAGTGGAACGGAGACCCGGAAATCGATTTCGGTTTCGTGTTCGTGCGTGCCGTGCGCGCGGGCGAGGCGAGGCCGCGCGGGCGGGCGAGAGAAAGTCTCCTGTGGCTGAGGCGCGGCCGGACCAAATGGTTCCCTTCCGGGCGGCCGGTGGCGCGCGGTGTCCCGCCGGTGTCACGCTGGTGTCCCGTCGGTTCTCCTGTGGCTGAGGCGCGGCCGGGCCAAATGTTCCCCTTCCGGGCGGCCGGTGGCGCGCGGTGCCCCGCCGGTGTCCCGCTGGTGCCCCGTCGGTGTCCCGATGATGATGTGGATGATGATGATGATGGCGATGATGATGATGGTGATGATGCGATAATGACGTGATCGATTGCGAGATCGATTGCGATATCGATTGCGAGATCGATTGTGAGATCGACTGTGAGATCGATGATGAGACCGATTGTGAGATCGATAGAGAGACCGAGTGTGAGGAAGATAGTGAGATCGATTGTGATTTCGATAGTGAGATCGATAGTGAGACCGAATCTGAGACCAAATGTGAGATCGACTGTGAGATCGATTGTGAGATCGAAAGTAAGATCGCCAGTGAGACCGAATGCGAGACCGACTGTGAGATCGACTGTGCGATCGATTGTGAGATCGATAGTGATATCGATAACGAGATTGATAGTGATATCGATAATGAGATCGAATGTGAGATCGATAGCGAGATCGATTGAGTGAGACGTTGGTTCCCCCTCCCCCCTCACCTCCTTATCACCCGCAGGGTGGTCGTATAGGTATTTATAGATGCCTTGCCCATGTAAGCATCCGGATCACAGAATCAACCCGGTTCTTTAACCATTGCGCACGTGCGTCCCCGAGTCCACCCGCGCGTGCACCGCGCGCTTTTGGATGGTCGCATTCCGTCGCAGGCCCCACCTGGGCATTGCAGCCCGCGCCGATTATGACGCGCAACTATCGTCGCCTGGCCTCCCGCGCCAGAGAAGACAACGCAGAGCAAACAAGCTGCACGTGGTCGTCGGAGAACTTGGCGCGCGGGAAATAACCAGCGACAAACCGGATGTTCAGCGAAACGTGGACGACGTCCAATTAAGCAATACGGGCGTTCATTGACACAAAGTGCCGCTTGCACCCAGTCCTCCGGGAGCGCACGAGTATGCCAACTCCATGTTCGCGCGAACCTGCCCCAGATCCTGCGCGCGAAGGTCCGTCCTCGGCGGTCCACATGCCCCGTCGTTGTGGGCGCGTCGTTTCGCTGAGTAACATGGCGTTCCAAAACATCCCAACAAACCCCGCCAATAACTCAAGGAATGCGTCGTCTGTTGTCGGACCCTCTCGCATTCTCCTAAACGATGGCGAAATTCAACAAGCCCCCACTGGGGAGCATGCGGAGCTGTTGGCCACTCCCGGGCGTAATCGCACTCGTGGTCGGACCTGGCGAAACGAAACAGGAGTCGGTGAGACTGGTGAGGGTAATACTGGGGCTGCGAGAAGCCGCTGGGAATGGATACGTACTAGTAGGGGGTAAAACAAAGGTCCAGAGTTCGAGCGTAAGTGACCTGGTCGTCGTAGCCGGAGTCGGGCTGCCTCCTGAAACAACACATATCCCCTGACAATTGGCGGGGTTACGTCGGAAAGACAACGGGACATCACCAGGTACATGAACAAATGTTCCTCTGCCGCCCCCCGAAGCAACATATG